GCTTTGACTGCAGACGTCGAGGGCGGTGAAGGGCTTGGGCGCGTCAAAGGCCGCCAGGGCGCGATGGGACGCCCACAGCCGCCGGGACTCCGCCGAGTCCGGGGGAGGGGGGGAGATGTAACGGGAGGATGAAAGGGGGGTGTAACCCGAAGAGGAAGGGGAAGGGGGGGGGTATCCCGCATCCAGCGCAGGAGGTGGACGTAGGCCATCTGCTCGGCGTGCCCCTCAGGGCAGCTGAGGCCGTGCCAGGGGTGGAGGCGGTAGGCGCGACGGTAATAGGAGGCCGGATCGGGTGCCCGGGGGGGCACACCCCAGCGCACGCCACGGTGGTAGCGCGCGTAGGACTGCACCAGGCCCATCAAGTCCAGCAACGGGATGGGGGCGGGGAGGTCGGCCCAATCATCCCCTTCTGAAGCCCCATCCTCCGGGGCAGGTCGGCGGGACGGCGGGAGGCTGCTCCAAACCCACTCAGCAAACTCGTCAAGGATCGCGTCGTCGGTCATGCGGAGAAAACGGCTGCCCATCTCGGGTTTCGTCAGCGATTCGGCTGTGACTACCAAGGATGGGCGAAGGGTATCGTTTAAAAACATAGCCATATCATCAATCAGGAAAACATTCTGCGGGACCCGCACCGACTCACGCGCTTCCAAGGCGTACGCCTCTAAGAAATCGTGCATTTCTAAAAACATTGAAGGACCCTGGAATTTCAACAGATGGGGTTTGGCTGTCTGCAACTCATTTAACATTTCATAAAAAAGTGCACTTAGAATTGCATGCCCTTTTGCTAGAGATGTACATACAGGTGAAGAGGTTGACAGTGCCTCATCCAAAGATGCCAAAGACGAGGAGCCTGTAATTGGTCTATTTTCATGTCGGAATTTGTGCATTTGTGAACCAGTCATAATAAAAGGCTTCTTGTCACCTACGCTCACAATTTGTCTCGTTATGAGCCTTGCGGTAGAATTAAGCATCGATTGAACGTGCTTGAGAAGTTTCTTGTAAATTCAGTGCTTAGAGTTCTAGACTGTGACTAATCGGATTGAATTTCAGGTTTACAGAAAGGACTCAAGTCTTCAGTATCGTTAAGGGGCGTTTTCTTCTTCAACTGAAAACCGAGAAACATCAGTTTTACATAAAGGTATATCAAGGAGTGTAGAATATGGGTTGGTAAATCTGTCGTCTTATCTAGCCCTTATGTTTCTAGAAACGGAACAACTGCTGTGATTTTCACGTCAAAACCGGTGGTCCGTCGAGTATCTTGGTACTATAATTGCCTATAGTTAAGATGAAATTGAATAAAAATTGTTTCAGTTGGTTTACTTTCATTATAAACATAAGTTTAATTTATTAAGAAAAACATAAACTATCTCTAACACAATATTATATATGCATTGACATATATTACTGACATTTTAACTACATTATCAGAATTTGAGAGGTAAAGAATATTTTCAATCACTTATATATATATCAGATTTATAAAATCGATATTATAAAATAATAATAAAAATCACATTTTGATATTTGCTGTCTGTATTATTATTGTTCAAGGTTTTTTAAATTTCACAGAAGAGCCTCAGCAGCATTTCTTGTCATGTTCAAAACCTCAATAGTATATAATATATAACAAACAATATTGTCAAACTTCTGAGGGTCGAACTTACCAAAATTATTTGCTTTCAGTCAGGGAGTCTATACCAAGGAGAGGCAACCCCTTCAAGGTTCAACTTCCTTGCCCCAAATTGTTGTTAGGCTACTAGGGCTGTGTTTTATTGCAAAAATCTTTTATAAAAAAGTTTAGAGAAAGAGATGCCAACAGCGATTTCAAGGGACTGAGACCGGATATCGCTGCGCGTGACCTTTCTTTTATTTCCTTTTCTTGCGGGGTGTAGTAAAGTTCCAATAAGTATGTTTCAAGTTTAAAATAAAATTTAATTGTCATATATGTAGTTGAAAAAAATTGTTAATAGGTGTATTGTGATTTCCTTCTTGTCAAGAAAGGCAATTACAGATAGTCATGACCAAAATATTACAGATTAAAGTAATAACATGCTATTACTACAAATCTTGAATGAATCATAAAATTAAATTCCATTTAGTTATTACATTGGTTGTATACAGATGTTAGGATAAAGATAGAAAAGATACGTACATAACTAGTCCAATAGAAATCAAATTTCTCGAATATTTTTAATATCGAGAGTGTAAAGAATGTAGAGGCAACGTAAATTATATTTTAAAAGAAACTAATAATAAACTGAATAATTTCAGATACTAGTTTGCGAAAAAGGGTAAAAAGAAAACAAAAATACACAGATAAAAAATCAACTTAATTTTAGTTGCTATTAATGCTAAATTTTTCTAACAAATTGAAATATCTATCAACTGTTTTTGATCATTTGTCGTAGTTAGATGTAAAAAAGATAACGCATGAAATCAAAAATGTACATTTAGGGAACATAATATTCGTAAAAATCTAAAAAAAACGATATATACTATATATATATATTGATAAAATAATCAGGGATAAATAGTTGGCAATCAGAATAATACAATTTGAAAAAAAACTATCAACCTTTATGGGTTTGAAAAAAAATTTTCTATGTATACCATATTATGCAGATTGATAAAATGTATTTATCAGGAATAGGTGCAGTTATGTGTAAATGCGCTGTCGTCTTATAAAAACTAGAAAAACCGTGAGAGTGGGTCCATCTTTGATCCAGCCTAATTCCCTTTTAACTTAGGAAGTTAAAGTATAAGGGGTATTAAAAGTATTCTGTAGTAACCAACATTTTCTGATTATCACCAAAGATGCTTAAAGAAACCTATTTTATACCTGAAAATATGCGTCACTTCCCTCTTTTCTCGTGTGTGGGGGAGAATGGTACAAAAACAACATTCATGAAGTTTTCCTGTTAACATACGCCTTTTCTGTTTCCGCTTAAATCAGGTATTTGACCCTATTAATATATTCAGGGATATCACCCTCATCCTTCAGGTGTAAAAAAGTTTAGTCCGGAAAATGTCGGCATTTTGTTCTATGTTCATATGCACATTATCCAACATCTGGTAAAATTCTCCATGTAAATAGGCTTCTGAAAGCTCCAGAGAAACGCTTTTCAACAATATGTTATCTTTTCATTATTCAGAGTCATCAAGCCTGAAAAACTACAACTGCTCAATAGGGAAAGTAATTTGACGTTTAATGATTGGTGACTTTTCATCCAATTTGTCATAAAAAAAGGTGCTATCGGAGTAGTCAGAGGTGTTGGAAATCAAGCTATCGCAGTTGACCTTTTTTGAGGATTGAAATACGGTACCATCATTGCCCGACATACCTACAGTAAGATCCTCACTAACCTCAGAGGCTATGAATAAAGTTGACAAATCAACCATCTGGCGTAGCCCACGTTGAAATTTGCTCAGTGAATTATCTAAATGAGTCTCAGTATTATTATTACACGAAGACTCCGAATCATCGGTAATGTTGGCTCGCCTGCTCGTAGTGGATTCCGGACGTTCACCATCCTTTCGGTAAAAGCTATCCAAAGAAGATAAACTTTGGGTGTGAAAGGAACAGCTCCTTGGAAGATATTTTTGCGCGCACTTATCGATACTGGCACTTTTAAAGGGGAGAAAACTACAACTGGGGTTGACCTTTCGATTAGGGGATTCTGTTAACGGTGTATCCGAGCAGATAGTCGGCTTTGGGGTGAATGGTTTATTGGTTTTCTTCAGAATTCCAGGTACTAGCATCGTATGAATTGGTTTATGAGATGTATGGACGTCAACATTGGCGCTCATCTCCTCCTGTAGCTCCAAATCACCGTAAACGATGCACCCAGGATGCGTCGAATATCTTTTCTCGGAATCACTATCAGGGATAATAGATGATTTGCTGATAAAAGTGCACAGTTGGGGCATTTTATCTTTCGAGGCGCACATCGAGGCCGAGGTGGTGGCTTGCACCTGAGAAAATTGAGGAGACATATGGTTTTCCCCTGGGGATAAAGGAAAGTTGTGATTGCAAAGGCACTTAAAAGAAAACGACGAACCTAATTTTCTTTGCATTTAACGTGAGGGCACCCTCAATTTGCGACAATGGGGTACTCAACGCTGTATCTTGGAAGGTAATTTGATAGAATTTCGTCGCCTTGGATTGGAAAAGGTTCGTTGACTGAGTGTACACACCACAGAATCTTCTTTAAACCTATTGCGGTTAAACACAATACCGACTTGAGTTGCAACTGTTCTTGTGGGATAAATATACTTTGGATAGTTTTGAATAATATTAATGAAAGAAATATAAAAAAATACCCCTAAACGAGGCCTTTCTTCTTTAATATATTAGAACAGAGTACCTAATAAGAGGTTGGAAAGTCAAGGTTCGATGAAACTCATCATTGCTGGAAATAAAACAGCCAGTGAAAGGCAAAGTCAAGAGGATAGATACATCTCTATACGTTTTTAGAAACAATAAGGATACACCCTTGATTTCTCTTAACGGCTTCAGATTTGTAACGAGGCAATAGTCCCCTTTTTTAAAGGTTATCCACTTATAGAGAGAACTACTTTTTCCGATTTTTCCGCTTTCCTGACGTGGTCTTCTTTCCATGACCTTTTCGGGAATGCTTTTTAATCTTACGAATCTTTTCGAGCTCCTTTAGCATGTGGATCTTTGGCTTAGTTTTACTCGGCCCTTTCGTCTCGCGCTGCAGTCGGCGAAGCTCCTCCTCCACGACGGCGGGCAAATCCGAAAAGTCTGCCGAGGGCAGGGCCGCGCGGCGAGACCCCCCGGCCGCGCCCGGTCGCTGCTCAAAAAGCGGCTTCACCTCGACAGTCGCGAGGCTGGCAAAATCCACATCGCCGGCGTCCGCGCCCCGACCTTCCATCGCCGACGGGACCGAATGAATACTTTCCCCGCACATCCCCCCTCCATTGGCATCACCTGTGAACTCCTCTTCGCCATCTTCGGGGTCTTTACTGAAGCCGAAGGTGTAGTTCGGTAGAATTGGGATCTTCGCGTAGTTATTGTAGGCTAAACGGGCCTCCTCGCGCTGCTGCTGGCGCGTCTTCGCATTTTCGCGTCTTATCTTTCGCTTGGAATCCACAAATGCTTGCACACGGCGCTCGTTCTTTTTTTTGTGCAAGGTCAGAAGATACTCACGACGCGAGGATTCATCGAAAGTTATACTGTGTACATGGGGAGATGAGTTACTAGCTTTAGTGTTCTTGATATTCTTACCCGTTACCTTTCTGGCGATCATCTTTTGATAGTTTTCACGCCGATCGCATTTAAATCCTTTCTTGATTTTCTTCTTGCCACCAGGAACACTATCGTGGCCGGAATCTAAAAAATTAGCCATCTTTGGAGACTACTATAGGGGGGTAGGTAAAAAGAACAAGAGAACGTGTGCTATAATTTTTAAACAAAAGTAGATCCAAAATAATGTAACAAAAGTAATTGCAATAGAAAAAAAAAAGTGCTGAGTATTAAAATTGATAAAAAATATTCCGCTTTTCAAAAAGTCACAGTTAGCTTATAGGTGAGGTGAAATAATGAAGCCTAAATCAATCGTCTCGGTATTTCCTCAAATATATTCTAACATTCATTCAAAATTTTTGACAAATATTTTTGTTTTGCGCTAGAAATTTGGGAAAAAAAATCTATGGACGCAACTATAACAACAAAAAAAAACGCATTGAGCAACATTCCTACAATGACGGAGCCTCGTTCGAAACGTTCAAAGGGAAGGAACAGCGCGACGGGGCCAAAAAGGAAGCCAGAGATCAGAGACAAGGAAATAACATTTTGGGAGTGTCTGAAAAATGTCCGAAACCCCGCCGCCTCATCGTCGTCTGAAGGCATGGTGGTGGGTTGCCCCGCTAAGTTCTCCACCTGCACGCGCCCCGGATCGTCGGGGAAATGATGGAGGGCGGCATCCTCCGCCGGAGGCGCCCCCTCTCTCCCACTCCCCCTTCTTCCTTCCCTGCCGTCCGCACCGGATGCAGGGGCCTCGGCATCCCGACGAACCCGCATTCGCTCTTCGTGAAGGGCGTGCAGTAAGTCATTGCGCGGGGGGGAGGATGTCAGGGCCCCGCCCCCTCCACGAATCCCCTCACTTTCAGTGTGAACCTCCTCGTGCGGAGCGGCATCGGAGGAGGGGGGATTGCGATTTAACATCGCCCCCACCGCGGAGGCGATCGCGCTCTCCACGCCTCGACGAGCGCGCGCCCCAAGGGTGTTCTCCTCCACACCCAATGCCATGCGATGGGTTAACATCCCGTGAAGACAAGAACCTGATTGAATATTAAACCCACAAAGCCGCTCCCCATCCTGTTCATGCCGCAGCTCCCTGCCGCGAAAGATTAACCGAATATCATCCCCTCGCCGCGGGGCCGTATTGGAAGTGGATAGAGTCGAAGTAGATGAGGACGCCCGATGGGCAGCCTCCAGAGCCAGAAGTCGGAATGTCCCTACAGTAGTTTCCACACCATTTGGTAATAAAACACGCAAAGAGTGCTCAATCGTTGGAATAAACACATTACAGTATTGTTCTTCCTCTTGAGATAAGCCCTCATCCTTAGGCATCTCGTCGCTTGACATTTTCATTAAGCACTTTCTAAATAATAAAAGGTGTTTCAAAACTAAAAAAAAGAGAAAAATAAAAAAAAGATAAAGTATATATCTGATCTGACAAGGGCAAATCACTTAATTTTTTAAAAAAGTCATCATAAGAGTTATTCTAGGTACAATGAAAGATAAAAAAAAGTATATATACTAAATCGGTCATACTAATTAATGTTATTCATATTGAAAAGAAATTAAGTAGCTAAATACGAATGCAATCATTTCGCTTCTATAGACGATACTAATGCGTTATTGGAGTAAATGAAGATAACATGATTGCGAGACTTTATTTTTGAAAAATTAATATTGATAAGGCATATTGCATTTAAAAAAAAACACGATACTTTCATTCTTTTTGCGTATGCTAAGATTCTACACTATCATATATATATTTTTTTTTTTAGATAAATAGAAAGTCCTTGAAGCGTTGTATAAAAAAATTCTTTCGTATTCAAGCTAGTATAAATAAACGTTTCATATAAACAAAATATATTCATATGCGCCTAATAAAATTATACTACAATTTATTACTTACAAAGCTTATACCCCTCTCGATGTTCTTCTTCAAAGTTGGGATGCTCTTCTCGAGCAGATCACGTTCATTTTTGTTAAGTTTGGGAAGCGGAAGGACCCTCTCGATACCATCCTTGCCCAATTCCACCATCGTGCTGAAAAAAGGCAACGTTGGGTAAGTATCGCATTCAATAAAAGTACTGATGACAATGTTTGGCTCCCCGGCGAGAGCGCGAAAGACGGCATTTGCCCACTCCTCGGCGGCGAAGGCCATACAAAGGGTCGCGGAGCCGGCCCCTGCCTTCGCCTCGACGACCTCATCGCCGCCGAACTGAACACGATGGGTGATCTTCTTCACCTGCTCCTCCGTCAGGTCGAAAGGGGAGAGCACCGGGATGATGGTCTCCCCGCTATGCCCGCCGATCACCTGCACGTTGATCATCCTCGGGTCAAGGTGGAGGGTCTCGCCGATAAAGGTCCGTGCCCGCACCGTATCCAGCGTTGTCACCCCGAAGAGCTTGCGTGGGTTGTAGACCTTCGCGCGCTTGAGCACCTCGGCGGCAATGGGGAGGGTGCTATTGACCGGGTTTGTCACAACCCCGATGATGGCCTCCGGGGACTTGGTCGAGATGAGCTGCACGAGCTCCTGGACGATGCTGGCGTTACTACCGAAGAGGTCGTCCCGTGTCATCCCGGGTTTTCGCGGGACCCCGGCCGGGATCAGCACCATGTCCATGGGAGCCATGGCCGTGTGCATCTCCCCTTTGGCGTAACCATAGACCTTGCAGGGGGTGGGGATGTGGGACAGATCCGCGGCGACACCAAGGGAGCCGCGGATGTCGTACAGGTGCAGCTCACCGACATAAGGGTTGGTCTTCATCAACAGGGAGAGAGACTGGCCAATCCCACCTTCGGCACCGAGAACTGCAACTTTCCTCAAAGACATCGAGAGGGAGAGATTCACAAAGGGTTGAAAAAGTTATGCAATTTTTTTTTTTTAAAAGGGTATGTGTTCGTTCGGTATGAGTAAGCAAATCTTTGCGAAGTGAGACCATATCAAGGGGATCAAAAAAGAGTAAATAAATAGAATAATGCTTACCAAAGGTCATTTCTATTATTCTCTATGGTGGAAGGAACGTTAATTAGGGAAATATACATCATCACAAGAAATCCTGAAGGGAAAAAAACTAATCGACATAGGCCGCTAGACTAACCTTAAAGTCTCTTTCCTAAAGTGCTTCTGTGACCTTAAAGATACTTTCCAAAACTATGATGCATCCAAATCCTTTCCACCAGTCCTAGCCTCACAAGTTTGGCTTGAAAATGCGTGGAAAAATAAGACCTATCCATTTCACCCGTAACTAATCGATTCAACCAAATTCCAACAAGAAGGAGAATGTTAGTTAAAGACAGATATAATATCATACGTCAGAGGGAGAAAAAGTTGACCACGCTTATCCAACAAATGCCCTTTCAACCATGCTGAGCTCAGAGTGATAAAAATATTGCATTATAAACTCTATCTAAGGGTTGATTTAATCGAATCAATGAGGATACATACTCCACTGAAGGTTAGTGATCAATTGTGAACCAACCCACTTGTAGTGAGTTTGGATGGTGCCATCTTCCGTACAGGCCCACTCCACCTCAAATTCCATACTGAATTTATTCCCATAACAACCTCACCGCGAGTTATCCAGCACGATGAGCGCGAACGAAGCCAATACAAAGAAGAAATAAAATTGCCGCGCATCTTTATTTAAGGTGTTGAATTTCTATATGATTTCTATGTTATGTCCAAGAGTTAGGTTTTAGCTGTTTGATTCGTAAAAAAATCTTTCAAGAGGGACCTGTTAACATAATGTGTGCTTTATTTCCTTACCTCATCCTGGTATCTCATATTTGTGCAAAAACGCGTGGATAACCTTCCACAACCAAAGATAATATTGTCAACATTATTTTCTGCTAGGCTTACATTTCTGATAGGTCGTAATACGAACTTTGGAATAAAAATAAAATACAATGAGAACAGTGTGATATGGTAAAAAATCTATACGACCTCATAAGGAATAATGAAAGTGATAGACACTACTCATTATGCGAATACATAAACTCACCATTTTTTTATTTTAATGAAAATATCGCTAAGGTTATTAAGACAAACTTCACTAAGGATCAAAGTGCAAATGATATACCACTTTAGTTATGAGAAAGCATGAGTCAAAATTAACCATGGAAAAAACAAAATACTAGAGAAAATTTTAAAATTGGTATATCTCAGATATTCACCTATACACTTATAGTCTGGCGCTACCCAGTTAAATAACGCTAACCATGAGCTGACATTTCTAACATCTGAATGCTGAGGTCTGGTACTTATATTTCTCCCATAATACACAACATCTTATTCAACACACTTACTGCGTACGGTGACTTTAGGTTAGTTATATGTTTCGCTTAATTAAAGAATCAGTAAACTAGTCAAATATTAAGCTACGAGATATTGTCCGCTTCATTTATTTGTATATTGAGAGAAGAAGCTATAGGATCTAGGTGATCCACAATCGTTTTATAAACCTCATCAACTATGCGATTAGCATCAACACGAACATACACGCCACGCGTTTTGTAGAACTCCGCAAGGGTGTTCGCTTCGCTCTTAAAGAGCTCAAGACGTTTCTTGGCAACCTCGAAGCGGTCGTCCGGCCGCTGGATTAACGGCTCACCAGTCACATCATCCACACCGGGCGTTTTCGGTGGTCTGAACTCCTCATGGTAGGTCCGCCCGCTCGCCTGATGAATCCACCGCCCACTCGTACGCTTCAAAATAACATCGTCAGGGACGCTGAATTCAATGGCCTTGTCGACGTGAATGTTGGCATTCTCCATCATTGTGGCCTGCCTAACCGTGCGTGGGAATCCGTCCAAGACGCAGCCATTCGCGTTTTTCGATTCGTTGGTAGCGCTCACGACGATGTCAAAAACGATCTCGTCGTCGACAAGCTTTCCGGCGTCCATAGCATTCTTTGCGAGAATCCCTTGTGGGGTCTTTCTCGCCACCGCATCGCGCAGCATATCGCCCGTAGCGAGGTAGGATAGGTCGTAGCGCTTCCTTACCAATGAACTCTGCGTCCCCTTACCGGAGCCAGGGGCACCAATCAAGACGATTTTCATGTTGATACTCTGAGAGAAGTACGTAGGCTGTGTTATAATAGTCAATATATATAAAAAGAGATAGAGAGAGAGAGGAATAACACACACACACACACGGAATTAAAAACAAAGCTGCGTAAGAATGAAAAAAAAAAAGAGAGAGAGAAAGAGAGGTGAAACAATGTCAGAAAAAAAAGAATGAAACTACGATACTATAGGATAGAGGCAAATACAACGCACATGGGATCAGTGTTATCGTGGAAATATTTTTTTTCTTTCTAAACTACCCATTCAGATGAAGGCATCGCAAATTTTTATTGATAAATTTACTAAAAGGGGGAAGGGGAATAATAGGTTGGGGTCTTTAAACCCTCTAATTGTGGGTGGTATCCTGCTCAAATTGCTTCAATGCCATTGGTCCATACCGCATAACAATCTCATTAATAGGAAGCGGTGGAAAAAGTTCACTTTTTATCTCGAGAAGGCGCTCATATTTTGGATATTCGGGTGCATGTGGAAAATTTTGTGTATTGTCAGGGTTTGGAGACGACCACTGTATAAAAAAACAGCGCTTGTGGCAATCATTGGAATAGCAACGTACTTTGATGGAGCCATACGTTAAGTATAACTGTGAGTAAGTTTCCTTATGCTCGCGATTTTGTTTTAAACAATATTTAGATTTCTTTTGGAAAACATAGTAAGCCCGAATCGCATCTTCGTATTGCGCAGTAATACAATCTGCAGTAATTGGGCACTGACGAATGTACGGACGAAAAGAGGCAGCGGAAGCATCCCGATTATTTGTATTTCTCTCATGTAAAATGGATGGAGAGAATTTAGTACCGTTGTAGTATGGTGAGAGGCATGAAAACACCTCAGCTAACAGTGCCTTTGTGTGGGCGCATTGGACTGGTATACGAGAAGAAGGCGGTCGTGGTAATATGGGAATATAAAAGGGGCCTTGTTCAACAGCCAAGTTGGTTTGCTGAACCTCCTTGCTAACTTCAGGGGAAAGATTAAGAAGTTGAAGAGGGGCCCCCTCTAAAGTTGGATTATCTCGCTGAATACAAGCAAAATCAATAACCGTCGCCGCGAACTTTGCTGGTTGACTCTTCTGTATTTGGGCATCGGGTTCAAGGCAAGAAAAAATCTGCGGTGCGAGAGACATCAGTAGCTCCTTCAGCCCGCTATGCGATAACTCAGTTACGCCGGGAACAATAGGAAGAAGAAATCTAAACAAATAAAAAAGTTTCTTGACAAGAGCATGCTGTTTCTGGAAAATCAGCGGATCAAAAGAAAGCTCAATTGTGCTCAAGACGGACTTTGCCACCGCGCCAACCTCAACCGCGTCTGGGTTAAAAACATCAAACCCCAACAGCTCGCGAAGTTGGTTGATCATTAAATCATCCCCTGCTGCGTCCACTGCCGTAAAAGGGCCGTTCGGCGATGAAAGAGGGGACTTGACATTATACGGCAAGCGAAAAGCCCGCCAACGTGAGTACACACCAAAGTCCACACAGCGGCGAACGAGCTGAAGAACGCCAATCTCGACCTGGAGACCTTCCAATGTCAAATTTGTCGAATTTTGTCTCTTTCCTTCTTCAATCGTTTGGTCCAAGGTCTTCTCAAATGTGATCATTAAGTGGTGTAAGTCCTTGATATGAGCCAACACTTGTCGAAGGTGCAGACGAAAGTGGACGTGGAAGCTCAGCTTAATTTCTAATAGGCTACTACATTTTGTTGTTGCCTCAGACGATTTCCGCACTATTTGCACACTACTGCTCAGCACTAAACACTCATCGACTTTGGTGGATAACCGTGCTTCAACATAGGTCTTTAGAAAATTTATAATTTCAAACAATGCAGCCTCAACGTGGATATTCGAGAAAGCATGAACGCCATCCGGTTCGCCCTCGACCTGACGCCACCATGGGCTAGACGCACGAAAATCTGAGCTGTCAATGGCTGTGTAGGACCAATCAATATCAAAAAAGGGATCTATACATGCGTCCTCATCTACCAGCACGTACAGATTACGACTATGCAAAGAAGGGATAGAAGAAATAAACGATACTAAATCACTCCCTGGGATTTCTAAAGGTTTGATAGGGATTGCCGCCATATCGGTTTCTTTCGAACTTTCACCTGGGAGTCCATCCTCTGAGGTAGCCTTGTGAGGAATAGGTGGCAAGGTGCTCGTAGCAGAACGTGAAAAAACGTTAAAAAGTTTGCTTCCCTTGCCATGGATACAGTCAACAGCGACGACGAGTTGGTGCTGATTGGTTTTATATCCACTCGACGTCATAGCGTTAAACCGGGTGCGGCAAAAAGAACTCTGAAGCGAAAAAGGATTGGGGACTCGAGGGAGGGTGTATTCCAACGTCGGCGGCATCCTTTCAGGCCTTTGGGGCTGCCCATTTAGGCCTGAATGGCTACAACACCAATACCCCTCCGACGGCACCTCAACCCCACACCATACGTCCTCTAAAGTACGATAAACCCGATCGTCGACAACCCCAAGACACTTCTCGAACATTTCGAGACCTTTCTTTACGCACAACACGCGCGCACGTGGCGAGGTGACGGTAAATATGGGGTTAATTGACATCGGCTGAAAACTACTTTGAAGGCCTTCGCCATCGTTCGCAGGGTCATTTTCGGTGTTGGATTGGGATCGAGAGTGAACCCATCCGGTGTGAAGTGCATCCTCTGTGCGGTGAAATTTATGTCCAGACATACTTTCTTCTGTTACCTTCAGTGGGAAAAAAATAATAATAATAACATATTTATTAAGAGGAGCAATAATAATAATAAGAAACAGTATATTCAAACATCAGCGTGGGTAAAGAAGAGGGAAATAAATGAGTGGGTACCATTTTCTTTTGCATAAAATGGCCTCCTCTGGTATCTTTCACGAATGACATTGCTTTGTCAAGCAAGAACCTTTGCATCATAAGGATAGAAATATATAAAAGAAAGTGTTAGACGAATTTCATATTAAAACAAATAACCATAAAAAAAAATAGCTAGTAATTGAAAACAGTCTCAAGTAATATCTTGAAAACAAACGCAGGAATAATTCCAAAAATACAAAGGTTAACCAAAACAATGAGAGCACCGTCTCGCTCACATGCTACTAAGTTTATTTGAAGGAGTAGTCGATAGTGTTAGATGTATCTTTACATATTAAATTACATTAGCTGTGTGTATGACTACATTCGAGTAATAGTATAGCATTGTCTGCCTAAAGAATAAATGAAGTTGCTGAAACACGCTATACGTATAACCAACACAAATTGGAAGCCATCACGCGCGCCTAAAACGCTCAACGTGTTAGTCTATCAAAACAATATACATGAATTCAGAGAGAAGTCTTCTGAAATTAATTGAAGGAAGTGATTTTAAATAAACACATATTACTACAATAATACAAACCATGACTTCACCTACAAAAAGTTAAAAACCATCAGGTTTAGGTATTATTTCGATATCAAAAGGCCCCGGTAGAGGGTATCAACGCATCCGGCAGGCGTTACGACTGATGCGAGTAGCCACTTCATATTCTCATCATCAATGCCATCATATATAAAGAAACCTCCTTTACTCATAACGTACCGATAGCGAAAAGTAGTCAAAAGGGGGAAAATGTGATTTTTTTTGTTAGCTAAAACTTGCATAGACGTTTGAAAGATGTTCATAGCGCCGTCTATTGAAGTTGGTATTGCATATGTCTTTGAAATCTTTCCAACAGGAATCGCGGGGCAGTATGATTCAAGGGCATGTCTATTAATGCTCCCATAGACGATGTTTTTGCTGTATATCCCCTAAAGACCAGGAATAAAAATCAAGATGAAACGTGACGCTTCGTCAGAAATAAAATAATAGAATCAATGTATTGCCTCCAGAGCAGTGCCCCAACTCCGAAAATAATCCCATTAGCTGCACTCTAAGCAGAAGGTAATACTAAAAAGAGGTGATATAATGTAGAATTGGACGCACACCTAAGTCTAAAAAGAAGAGCGCATTCGTTTAAAGACTACAAAGCGATCCACATTTTTAATACATATAAAGACTATAGAATTATTATTTGTGAAAGCAATGAGAATTGAGTAAAAATTGTGGCATGAAATAAACGGACACTAGTTCAAAATTGTTTGTACATTTGGTGTTTATTTAGAAAAAAAATTTCGATGTAGGTACACTGAATATTTGAATAAATGTAAATTAAATTCTAATACCTAGGTAATATATAATTTCTATTGATATTAGTCATAAATATTCAAATATCATCAGTTGATTGATAATAAAAAAAATTAGCTTCTGAAGCAAATATATATAAAAATAGGATCATCTGATGGGATAACAATGCAAAAAATGCCAAAATATTGCATAGAGATGTGCCATTTTTTTTTCTTGCTAGATGAACAAGAATATTACTAAATAGATTTTAGTGCAAAATGGATAAGATTGATTACTGAGTGATTCTGTGAAGGTGAAGATTAAAGTTTAAAATGAAAAAGCTTAGCGCAGATTGTTAAGTCTCAGTCTTTGAAACAATACATGTTTCACAACACAGTGTGTTCAGTAACATATTATTAGTATTATTAATCTTTACAGCTTGTTCTTGGATGCAGGCCAATGATAGTCTTTTGCATATTTAAAGCCACTACGAAATATCAATTCATCAGCCTCCTTTGGCCCACGCGTGCCGGCCATGTACGGAATCAAATCTACATCTCCTTGGTCGATTTGCTGAAGAAGGGGAGTAAATATGCGCCACGCCGCATCCAACTCATCCTTTCGAACAAAGTTCGTCGAGTTTCCCAGTATCGCATCGTTAATGAGGCTTTCATAGGCATCCGGAAATCGGACATTATAGCGAGAACGGTATGTGAGATCGAGCTCAGTCTGATGCGTATCACTGAGTTTTCCCAAAACACCGGGATTTTTAGTGGTGATTTTCAGGTAAATCGCCTCCGATGGCTGGGCGCGGATCACCAGCTCGTTACGCTGCGCAGAGTCCTGGTACGGGTGTATCTCATCCTTAAACTGGATGAGAATAGTAACCGATTTATCCTCCAGGGCTTTTCCCGCTTTAATAATAAAAGGCACCCCATTCCAACGATCGTTGTTGAGGTGCAGGACCATACACGCAAAGGTCGGGCACTTGCTGTCTTTGGCGACTCCTTCACTTTTCAGATAGTCCGGGATTGATCCATCCGGCGATGCGGTGTATTGGCCAAGAACGCAATCCTCTTTTTTTACAGGCGCAATACAGCGTAACGCAAAAACCTTTTCATCGCGAATGCACTCGGTATCAAGAGTGCGTGGCTTCTCCATGGAGATCAAGGCGAGGATCTGGGTAAGGTGATTTTGCATCACATCGCGGATGATCCCATAATTATCAAAATACCCTGCCCGCCCCTCCACCCCAATGGTTTCCTTGAACGTAATTCGCACACACGCGATGTTGCTCGAGTTCCAGGTGGAGCTGAAAATCCTATTCGCAAAGCGGGTTGTCAGGATATTCTGCACAATCTCCTTCCCCAGATAGTGATCAATGCGGTAGATCTGAGATTCGTTAAAGAGGTTCACCAAGTCGCGTGAGAGCTTGGCGGAGGACTCCGTATCGGATCCGAAAGGCTTCTCGATTACGAGCCGCGCCCACCCCCCCGCCCGTGGCAGGGCGGCCTGTCGAATCCCCCGGCACACCTGCACAAACACCGAAGGTGGGAGGGCGAGGTAATAAAGCCGGTTCCCGTGCTTTTCCGCCCCAGCAAAGGCGTCCTCGCGCGCGGTGAGGTGAGCCTGCAATCGGGCAAAGTCCTCCACACGGTCGTAGGACCCTGAGAGATAGCTCACCCGGCTGAAGAACTGCGCGAGGTGGCATTCGTGGCGATCCAGCCGGTCAAAGTACTTCGCCAGGGTTCCATACTGCCAGGCTGCCAGGTCCGGAATCACCGTCCGGGCGTACCCCACGATGTTAATCTCACGCGGGAGGAGGCCATCACAGTAGAGGTCAAACAGGGCGGGAAAGGTCTTTTTCTTCGCCAAATCCCCACTCGCGCCGAACAGGACAATCGACAGCGGGCGTTCCGTCACCTTTCCCGAGACCTTCGCGAGGATCTCCGTGGAAGGCTTGGGGGGGAAACGGCTGAGGGCGAGTTGTTGAGTGGTCGTTTTGATAAAGCCGAAGATGTCCACGGGGCGATCTTGCAGTACCTTGCGGCGAATGCTATCCAGGATGTAATTGACCTCATCGATGTACTCATCACCCGTGAGCGCATCGCGATTTTTGTCACAACTCATTTTCTTTTTTTTTTTCAAGCAATAGATCGAATTGAATGATATTTAATATTCAAATCGCGGAAAGTGTTTAGAAATGATTATTTTTTTAAAAGCATAAAGGTAAGCCTAGCTAAGGGAAAAGGAGAGGAAAAAATGTTACTTAAAATGTCATTTGAAAGATATATCGATGGATTTAATCGTTGTTTTTTTGCACCAAACTAAGGAATTTGCAAGGTTTTGGAATATGAGCTTCAGTCGAAACACACCTAATTAACGTGAGGTAAGAAGCTAGTGATGAACAATGAAATTCAAATCCTTACCAGAAGGGAACACAGACTGTTAAATCTGTATTCAAACTTCATCATCGTGTACGTACCACTGCCAATATGACATCTGCAAACACAATTAACATATACTTACGAGTACCCCAAAAGACATTACGCACTTTCTAAAGATCCTCTTGATTCCTCAGGTGACCACAGGAAAGGAAGGCTTGATGCCGGAAGGAGTAAAATGAGGGTGATGAATAAATTGAAATATAAAGTTTTAGTGGTATATTAGTTACCTAATTATCTCTAAGCCTTGCCAGATGGGCCTTCCAAACACATCCACCTCTACGCACATGATCATAATGGCGTCTGCTTTGAGTACAGTTGATCTCATACCAACAAAAGTTACAAAAAGAACAGAATTATTAATTTTTTTCCAAACAAAAAAGGCTGTATCAACAAGATAAAATAAAAGCACATGTCATATCAATGCCTGAATAAAACTTAATAGAAAACATAGCCATGCCTAAAATCGATAAATAGTAAATACTGTTGTTGTTCACATTTCATTTAAAATTATACGCATTAGGTTAACGTTGATCTATGTATAAAAATGTGGAAAATAATGCGTACATTTCTATGAGAACAATATACAAACTCCATGGATTCACAGTATAATAATAATAATAGCAACTATGAAAAGATAAAAAAAGATAGCAAAATTGAAATAGGTTCCTAGTCGAATTACAAGTCTACTAAATTACAGTTCTTTGCCGACACTATGGAAGAGAAATTTTTACTCAGTATCGAATACTAATTAGTAACATCATCACTGCTTAATACTGTCACCTTTCCCCTCTGTAGCGAAAAGGTTTAGCATTAGACAAGATGTCAGGCCCCTTTTCCAGCCAGAATTTCTTTCAGTGTGTTTCCTTGATGGAGAAATCTATATTCATATCTGGCTGTGATGTAAATGTTGTTGGCATGTTCATCCTCAAGTTTGCTTCGTGATCGACATTTCGTTGACTAATCAAATTATCCGGTAAAGTACCATACGAAGAGTGAGCACCAGATAATGGGATAAAATTAGAAGCCGTTGGGCAATATTTGGATAAAATAGGCTGCTTAGAAGTGAAAGTATGAGGCATTGACACTCGAGAGGTAATGCTGTTTTGCTCCAGATGTCCACTCGCATCAAAACTTCGCATACACCCGCTACGCCTGTCTTTATACGTCGAAATTATTTTTAGTACATGATCGATCCCAATCGGAATGCCCTTCTGGACTTTGAAACCCTTCCCCCCATGCCAAATCTCCTCCAGAGCTTGAAAAAGATTAGGTGGGCATGGATTAGGTCTGGGTGCGAGATGAAAACCATTGGAACGCGGCTTCAGGGGAAAAATGATCGCACTCGCGGCGCTAAGCTCGCCTTGGGAGTAGACCGAAAGACTCAACCCTTGCATTAGATAAGCTGCGAGTAATGCCATCGATCGGGCGTCATTATCAATTCCTTGGCAGGAACCCATTTTTCCAACCTTTAAGGTGTCTCGTTTCGACATCGCTTTAATCGTAGCGGTGATCCCATCGTTCTTCCCCTCCTCAACCAGCCATAAAGGATGCGCAAGAAGTTCCAAGTGTATAAGATTGCCCGTATGAAGTGCACACAACGGCGAAACGTACGTCTGAAGCGAGGCATTACGTTTAATATAATTTAATAAGTTCAACGTTTGATAAAAAAATGTTTCGAAAGAGTCCTCCATAGAGTTAACGAGCGAGCGGTTTAAATCGATCGTTATAGTACCTGTTTCGAAGCCTTCCGTATTACTTGCCGAGTCATCAGTCGGTTTAACTTTCGGAAAGTGGGTATTTTTAAAATGTGAGAGCAATTTGAAAAGAATTTTATTAGACGCCGGATCGTGATCGGTGATGACTAAGAGAGCAAACGACAGTCGCATGACATTAATGAGTTGTTGTCTTTCTACCGCCTCGACGTTCATATGGTCTATGACGAACGAATCAAGGTGTTGTTGATTTATGTCCGATAAATGTCGGATTTGAGATTTGTCTTTAGAATACATATTGTTGTCTAACAGAGGCTTCAATGTTTGTGCAGTAAGGGTATCGGTACACGACGCCTCGAATTTATTGGTCGACTTTGGTAAAACCACAATGACCTTTACTACTCTTGAAATATACATGGGTTGGTTAACGCGGTATGCATTCAGTATGGCGCTGAAGCATAACAGGCCCTGCGATCTCTTTTTTTTCGGACTACGTATCATTGGAAGTCGAAAGGAAATTGGGTATAATAGAAAAAGACCAAAAATGAACATCAAACAAAAAATTTCCGTTGAAAGAAAACATACACCTACGCAAAGCAGTACTCCCTTAAAGAGTATGCTGAATCGATAATTGCGGGTGATATGAAATGCGAGCGCTAACTCATAAAAGCTATCCTCTTGGAGCCCTTGACAAAAAAAAAGTTTCGCCCGTGCTAAGGCATTGAGAAAAGTATACCGACGACTATACAAGACGTTTCGGGTGGTATCTCTTGAAAATGCCTCCGATACCAGAGATCCTGAGTTTAAATTTGCAATGGGTATGCGGTAAAGCTTCCCTAACGTTTTCATAAACATAATCAAATAAACTAAGAATATGAGCACTACACCCGCGTTCAGAATATTCATATGTATCGTAAAGATAATAAACGCAACCATATTAAACGTCACCAGCGGTTTTCGCCACAAGATCACGTCATGGAGACGAAGAATGATAATCACTAGTGCGATGTATGGAATTAAAACAAAACGCATTGCGGGTGAGTTCAAATGCAAGCTATCTATTTTGTGCTGACCTTCAGGACATGACGTAAAGGTGCACCCACTTTGAGAGCCTTCCATATTTTCATCCAATCCATCCTGACTAGTGAATCGATCATTATCAGCGCTGATCCCCAATGGGCTGAATTCAGACGAAGAATAGGTTTGCCTGTGGAAATCACGATTAGAATTACTACTAACGGTCTCCATATTATCATCCAAACACGTTTTAGATTGAAATTCATGATAAAGCAGCAAGACAGAATAAGCAACATTGCTAAAGGAATAGGATAAAACCTGAAGGGTTAGGGAGGCGCATCCGCCAATATCCTTGCCTAACATCCTATTCTTAGCTGCGGTGTTCGAAGTAAGCTCATCCAGAGCTCGAGCAATCCCTTGTTTGGGTTGTAAGACCATACGTACCCCGCTACGAATCATGATAAGCTCCCGAAGCGTAATCTTGGCGACGCCAATACATAACGAACCCTCCGCGAGCGATTTATTCGGTTGAAAGACATCCGCCCCGCGAAGGGAAGCCCCACTGGTAGGGCTGATTGAAGACGACGGGGGAAGCTGAAGAAGCCGAATCTTCACCACGCAGTCCACCGCCGAGGCGGGGAGGGCGGCCAGAATAACCTCACGGGGGGAAACCCGGTATCGTGTAATCCTGCCCCCGCGATCTTTCAGGGTTTGCCGCTCCCTTTCTTCGACCTGCGCGACCATCTCCGTCGTCTCCAGCTTGACAATCCGCTCCAAAATGAATTGCAGGCAGAAACGGGGGTTAAAATGGGCCTCGTCCGGGCTCAGGCTAAACTTCCCCTTGACAAGACTGGCGCCGTCCTCATGGCGTTTGGAGCCAAGCGGGGATGACAACGGGATGGGATTGCCGTTTTGGGTGGCCGTTCGCCGGGGGTTCGTATCGTCCGGCGGGGTTCGTGGGGAGGCCTTGGATTGAGTCCCGGCATCGCGCCTCAACAAATCCCTTACGGGATAAAAATGGTTCGGATTAAACGCACATATATTAGATAGTTCACTCAGTCTAAACTCCACGTGCATCGCGGAGTTTTCCTTAAACCTAGAAAAACCGTCACCGATGAGGGTGGATAGAGGCATGAGTTTTTTTTGAAGTGGTATCGCAAAGTCATTTAATAGAACTATATGAATAAGTAAAGAAGATTATGATAAGGACAAAAAGTCCTAAACTGTTTTGAGAACGCTCAAAACGTCGATGCGGTATCATTATTATTATTAATGCGTAGAGAAGACTTCTTAGAACCTTACTACACCCCGCAAGAAAAGGAAATAAAAGAAAGGTCACGCGCAGCGATATCCGGCCTCAGTCCCTTGAAATCGCTGTTGGCATCTCTTTCTCTAAACTTTTTTATAAAAGATTTTTGCAATAAAACACAGCCCTAGTAGCCTAACAACAATTTGGGGCAAGGAAGTTGAACCTTGAAGGGGTTGCCTCTCCTTGGTATAGACTCCCTGACTGAAAGCAAATAATTTTGGTAAGTTTGACCCTCAGAAGTTTGACAATATTAGTAATGCCATTTAGGAATTACGGATAGACATTTTCTTGTTGATTTTAAGGGAAATATTATGCAAAATCAAACCTTATTAAGACATCTTGCGTAATACTGGTGAGGTCTCTGAAAAATTAGAATGTGAATGCACTGATGCAACTACTGATATGTCATTTTTGTTGGTGGTACTTTTATATTAATCCTAACTTTAGCTTTTTAAGATGAAATCCAAAGAAAGAGGACAGCAACAATTCTTTTTCCAAGAATAGGTTATTTATTATGTGTTAATGGTATGGTTGCATTTGTTCATCGATGCTACAATTCTGTATCATTTAAAACCTGATATCGGCATTAGTAAAACAGAATATGTCAAACACTTGCGCTTTGAGGATGTATGGGTACTCTTTATTGAAATTCTTTTATTGAATACGTTTGGATCTCTCGCTCCCCTTCTTTTAGATAGAAGAAGTTTTCTAATCTCAGTCATCTTGAGTGTACCATCAAATATTATCATATTAAGGTTATATCATAAGGGAAAAAATCGCTTCTTCAGAAAGTATCTGAGTCTCACCCTTATGCACCTCATCTATCAGTAGTCTTCGATCTGTCAACCAATAAATTAGCATGACTCTTTCTTCTTGTTCCGCCAATAAACAAGAACTTTGTACGTGTAATACTATTCGCCAATAGTCATTCTCTACCAATAGGGATTTAAATAAAATATTGATGCTATGTTGCTATTTATTCTACTTTTTTTTCATACAGTTCCACACATTAATTATTTTTTTTGCTATTTTCAGATAATTTAACAGGTTCGCCTTGTTCTGTTATAGTTATGCTTTCATCTACCATTTCCTCGTCGTCACCTATTCTAGACGTATCAACAGGATATATCCACCGTTGATATAGAAGTATTGCAAAGACAATATCATCTCGAAAGCATGCCAAACGATGTAGCCACGGCATTTGGATTATAAAGGCAAAAAAATCATCTATAACAGTGTTTAACGCCTTGAAAACAAATGTCCTCCAAGGAAGTTGTCCCACACTTTTTAGCTTATAGTTAACAAAAATTTGCGGCGTCATAGCGGCAAATCCGAAGAAATAAATAAACTGAACTTGTGTGTTAATGGAAAAGGAATACCAGTTTTTGTGCTCGTTGTAAATTAATGAGTAAACACAGTATCCAAAAAGAATCGGAGCCATACAGTAAATAAGCCAACGCACCGCCGTCTCGTCATGTTTTCTGGTTTTCTTATCGTAAGTGTCTCGAAATTTAATTTTATATCCAAGCACCGAGAAGGAGCGAACTTTTCCCGAACTCGGATTACCACCAGCTTCATCAATGCGATGCTGGTGTGTCTTACCTTCGGCAGAATCTTTCACAAAAGTGATGCATTGTATTATTTTCCAATATTCCATCAAGACTCCAATACCGGATGGAAATAGAATCGTCCACGAAGTTTCATTGGTGTCGTATAAGTAAAGAAAAATAACCGTTTGAAAGTAGCAATTGATAAACACTGTGCGCAAAGACAATCCCTTAAAGTCTTTCCGTCCACGCCAAAATTTCACATCATTGGCAAGGGCCAAATATTCAAATACCATGTGTAGAACGGTTATCAATGCTGTTAGGATAAGAAAGTATGGGTTGTTATCCAAAAAAATACTCTTCATATCATCAAGACTTTCATCGGTAGAAAGGCCCATAGCGATTTGCTCCCGCATAGATTCATCGAATTTCTCATAAAAAGCTAGTTTCAAAGGTGTCAAAGGCGACAATTCCACAGTTAAAGTTTGATTGTTAATAGAAGCTTTCGTCAACTTTTGCATATGCTTCCGAAGATGCCAGAAATTATTGATGTAAAGCACGGGACCGTGTTTACTATTATGCATATTCGGTGTGAAGTTAGCGATCCCTTTTGACGAAGATGTTGAGAAATTAAGAACAGGGCTCAAGGTAAGAACCGGTTGAAGGAAAGGTGTGTACTCAAGATCAGACGTTCCGTCGTCAGTTGTCACATTTTTATCTGTCAATGCCCTGCCTATCAAATGGCGCTTTTTGTCTTCCTTTGAAGAAAAGTACCTAATTAAAGAAGTATCCGTGTTGAAGAACTGTCCCTTTATTGACCAAACAATACTAACATGGGCACTACAATTTGTTGCGTAACATGACTCTAGTGAAAGTTTACGCGTCACCTTCAGCGCATCTTTATGGTTGACCATGTATACAGGATCCAATGATACGTTGATAAAGGAAATCGGATCAAAAATGTTATCTTTTGAAACAATGCTGATGTTAATCGAATCGTGATAATGCGTCAAAGGTTTCAATCCAGGAAAGTCGTTGATTATTGTAACATTCTCTTGTGTTTTTCCTCCTTGAGATAGTGTAGAGTTGGTTAGTTTGGATGACTGTTTATTATGCATCCATATGTTTATGGCTAGCATGACGGCAAGCATGCCTAAAAGTTGAAGATGCCAAATACCTTTGAAGGTATTATCCTCCTTAACTTTTTTTGAGGATTTCTCTCTTATAAACCAACGCATAGCTGTATGATCAATATAAATAATCGATACCCTATATTTGTGTAATAGTCTTCTAATTTTTGACAAAAAAATGCGGAATATGAGACAATAATTCATAACAAAATCATTAGAAAAATTAAACTTTTGGATAGACATGGTACTTACTAAAATAAAAAAATATTAGAGCGGGAATTTTTCATAACATTAGAAAAAAGTTAGAATTTCTACTAATTATGAATTTGTGTAGAAAAGGAGGTGGCGATATGAATCCCAAAAATCCATAGTGCAAAACACAAAACTATCCAAGAAGGTAAATAAACCATTATTTGCCCTATTAAGAATATGTTCGCTGTCCAGGAGATTGGAGAATCGTGAAACTCGCAAAGGTTGCATCGAAGCAGGTACAAAGACTAGACTATCCAATAAATCAACGGAGGTTGGATTCATTTGGATACAAAATCTAAATACTAGGAAAAGTAAAAAATATAATATAGCCCAAAAAACTCTTTGGAAGGTGTTTCTTGGAACCGGCGAATCAGTTGGGATGTTCGTGCGCCTACGCCACACTTCGGATGCTGTCAGATTGGCTTCTGAACCTAGGCTGCGAAGACAAGATTCTTTCAAATACTTCTTATCAAGTCTTTCTTTGTCTGTGCAAGGTGCTGACAGCAATGGGTTACGCTCAAGGCCAATTAATCGAGCCATAGATGAATCAGGTATTAAGAATATGCCATTCACAACATGATTTTTGGTATCATGTAAAAAAAATGCAATGCTTTTCATATCAGATGTGCAGGTGAAATCTATGCTAATAGCATTAACGCCACGATCTACCAACTTGGAAATCAGCATTGAAATCACAGAGTTATACTTGGATCTTGGTATATCAAGCCAACAAGTTGGATCCTGATCTAATTTCGAAAGAAGTTCTATATCTGTTTCACTCAGCTCTCGATGTGCTACTGTTTGATTTTGAGGCATTGCTTTTTGATTCCCAACGTATTTTTCAGTAAACTCATCATCCTTTTGATGACCTATCGATTCCAAATGAGGGAATTTTCTAGGAAAAAGGAAATACTGCATAAGATAGAATGTATGCGAAGCAAAAACTACCATGCGATAGATACTTGGAACACGACAAGTGAAAATAAAAAGATCATCTACCAAAAACGTAAGCTCAGCCTGAATAAATAACAAAAACTCTGATACCGGTTGTCTTTCCTGGTTCTGATAGCAAAGGGATACTTTACATGTCTTCTCTTTCAGATTACTGTAGAGATTAGGTGTAAATCTACCCAAGTACGCAACCACATAAATAAATCCCAAAACTACGCGTAATACTTCCTTCGTAAGGTCCAATGAATCCATATAAAAGGCAATGTAAAGAAGATTAACCGAAACAGGAGAGATAATCATCCAGAGAGCTTCACGGAAAATATCGGTATATACGGAATTTTTGTTCGCCTTAGCCATTTCCCTCGCTGATGACCTGAACCCGTTTATTATGAAAATGAATATTTGAAACAGCAGTATGATATCAAAGCCGGAAATAACAAATATTTCGTGAGATATAAATAGAAAAAAAGTTATTAAGTGACAAATAAATGTCAATGGAAGTCTCCAATCATCACCTATTTTAATATCACATAAGTGGAATAATAAGTTTGACATTTCATGCGCGGCATTCAAAGACAAGGAATACATTCGGAAAAAAAATAATGAACGCAACTGAAGTAATCGATTAAGGTACTGATTGTCCAAAAAGGAGCGATGTCCTTTACGTTCAAGGAGAACCTCATATGCCTGTTGAATTTTTTCCGTCTTCGTTCGACAATGAGCCCCGCAGTTAGGATTAGAGTCTGGATGCCACAGTTTAATTTGCTTACGATACGCTTTCACCACTGCGCTAGGATCGGCACCATACTCCAGACCCAGAATTCCATAGTACGATTTCACATCAAATTCAATTAAGAAGGACCATATAGGCCAAACATAGGCCAAAATTATAGCGACAACTGTTGAAATAATAAAAAAACATAAGTAAATAAATTTGGTATTGCCGTGGTCACTTCCAAACTTTTTTTTGCGTTGGATGTATTCACGAAAGCAGCAATCCATCCATTGATTCCTTGTCATGGGATCATCAGCCGTAATGAGATTTCCAGTTTTCCCTGTTTGATTATTTTTCTTAGTTGAAGGAAAATTACGTCCAGCTGCCATCATTTGCTTGGCATAGTGTTGAAAATTTGCATTGGATTCAAACGCTTCTAAAGCTGTACTGTTCCGCATTATCTTTTTTATAATATCTAGAGAGATATTTAGATTGTAATTAGGAACTATATATAAACATAAATAAATATTTTTCGAATACTATAAAAATTTGTGAGTTGTAATATTTTAAAGAGTAATATTTATCAACATGACTATAAATTAAGCCAAACTAATCTAAGTTCATAACAAGTAAATAAAGAGTATATTTAAAAAAAAAAGGGATTAATAAGTTGTATTATAAAGACAAAAATTAGTAAATATCAAATATTACAGTCACAAAAAAAAGAGTTTTGACCAATTAATAAATCTAGAATAAAAAGAAATATACTAAAAACATGGATGTTTAGTATCTTTCAACGCTGGACTTGGTCTTTGAAGCGGGTCAATTCCTGAAATCTTGTTAAAAGCTTCTAAAACCTCAAAAATACCAGCCCTAACTGACAGGTTGTTAGCTAGCATCTTGGTTCAGACAATTAACACCAGTGGTCGAAACTCTTCTGTAGAAGGTACTATTGTATTTTTTTAGGAATTGCATCAATAATGTCCAAAGAAGCCTCATCGAAAAGCATATCTTTAAATACCAAAAGATAGATTATCACGCGAAAAGCCTAAATATCAACCTTAGTATCAATTTTATGTTTCATCAATAAATCAAGAGTCTCAGGTGGTCTGTAAAGCACTTTTATCTTTGATTCTAACACTCTCTCGGCTATTTTTATTTCATTGATACTCTGAAGAAGGCAATAGGTCCGTGATAAGTATCAAAATCGCATAACATTAATATTGCATTTTGAGAAAAAAATCCATGGTTTAATTTCCTAATATGAAACTAGTGGCGATTGTAAGTTTAGGTGGCCAATAACATGCAGCATAAGATTTATAATTTCATATATCGCAAGTATAGCATAATTCTGATTTCTACGCATATAATTATTAATGTAATCCTGTATCGGAGGGCCCTGACAGAACGCCATGAGTATTCATAACTCTGGGAGATGTATTCGTGAACAGTAAATTATCTCCAAATCATAAGGTTTTACAATATTCTTGTAAGGACATAATGATTGATAAATAACAATTTTTCATTAGCCTGTCGTTGTTTTGTTTGCTCAAAGATATATCATTTTAGTGCTACACGTTCTCCTGTTGAACTTAAATCTTTAATAAATGAAAGCATATGCTCCTTCTACAATTAACATGAGAATGAATACTAAACATCTTTAATAAAAAAATGACTCGCATGTCGACTTTTTCTTCAAAATAATCTTAATGTAAATAAAACATCATCTATCCAATCATAACTAAAAGGAGTACAATTGCCCATAAGAAATCTAGGTTCTGACGGAAAGCAGTATATAAAAAAAAAATGATATAAATAGCGAATGTGAAAAGAAAAATATAAATAAAAAATTATTCTTTATTTTGACCCTTCAACTATGGGAAATAAAAACCTCTGAAAAACGCAATTACACCAATTAAAGAAATTCCTAGCAATTGTGCAAAATAAGGCGGACAAAATATGCTTAATGTCTAATATTCGCTGAAACTTTTTTATCGCACTTAAAAAGAAAGTTTTTGGATCGTTATGACACTTTGACCCCCCCACCCCCTAAGCCTGGGGGTAAAAAGCATACATCACAAGACAATTATACTCAAACAAAAAGCAAAATACCGATAACCGTCGGCATTTTATGCAAAATCTGACGCTAATCGCTTTTAGTGTAGAACACTGTGGGCGCGTCAATATTCCTATCTTTCGCTTCGAAATATATTCAAAGAATACTGCGAAATTTTCTGTCTGTATTGGCAAAATCGTTTAATTTTCATTATTATTCATAATTCCGTTCTTCTTGGAACTTTGGTAAGGGAAAACTATTAAGAACTGTTCCTTTATTGGCGAATTCTTTTTTTCTGAGGCGTTCGTTTTTTACTTTTTTATTTGTTTTGTGTTTTGAACTCCTCTAAAGATTATTCTAGGACGGGTGAGTGGGAGGGGGAAAGGGGGAAGGGTCGCATGAGTGTTTGCCAAATTTACTAATCGTACATATCAATCTACTGGGCTTAATCTTGACTATGTAGAAATGTTAAACAGGAGGGTATCCCAAAAAAAAATTCTGTAGAGGTGTACATTAAAGCTGGATGAAAATTTTTCATTTGTATGTAACCCTACTTTCCATTTTGAAAATTATCCCAGTAAAGTTCCTCACTCTACTGTTAAGAAACAGTTTAGAATTACAGTATTATTGTTTACATTTGAGGGTGTGTGCGGGAGGTGGTGAGTTAATTATGTGCTACAACTGATTATCATTGTATAGACATAAATCAGATGTAGACTTTTGTTAAAGGAAAGATAAACCGCACTTTAACCGAGATAGCATGGTGTCAAGTAAATGTTTCTAAGTTCAGGTAAAAAAAAATGGATACTTTGCTTTTGTGGGACTTTGGGTACAATACGTTATAAAAATGAAATCTTACATGTAATATATCTACAACCAGTATGATAATTGTAATTATAATATTTAATGTTTACTGGTCTAATTAATTTATAAAGGAAAAATGAAAAGCAAAATAAAGAGAAAAATCGAAAATTTACTTTGTACTTTACTTTACCTACTTTAATCATCCTTAAACCATCTGAATATAATGCCAAATATCTAGTAGTCCGAGATCAACTTTAGGATGTGGTACAAAAAAAAAGATGTGTTACCTTAAAAAATAATAAATACCAATAATTTACAACTAAACAAATTGCTAATCGTGATACCAATCTTGGACCTTTTTATTCACTGAAAAAGTTTCTACAAATAATATGAAGAAAAGTTTGTATACTTATTAGTTCAATTATATTAGCATTTATGTTTTACTTTTTATTTTACTAAAAAATATAGATATACTTCCACTTTATCCTGGTTAAGATTTATCTCTTTTTTTTTGTATTCAGTATCGTTCAGAATGGAGACTCTACGTAGAAGAAATCCTATTTTGAGTGAAAAAAATGAGTCGACAAATACAGCATTACTGAATCACGTAGCGAAGGTTGACTTGTTCAGAAAACCAAAGGAAGATTTCAAGAGATCGCAGACTTATCTGGGAGGATGTATTAGTGCTTTCACTTTTTCCGTGATTATCCTCTTCATTTTATGGGAGGCTTTCTCTTACATTTCCGGTAGAAATTCATATTTTACAACATTAACTCTTGATGACAATGCAAATCGTTCTATGGATGTATATATAGACATTTTGTTTCCATCCCTACAGTGTTATCGCATCAGTATTGATACACTTGATGTATCGGGATCAATAAGATTTAATATCGAAAGGAATTTATACAAAATACCTGTTACATCTAACGGAATCTTAACATACAGAGGTGATTTGCCATTTAGAACTGAGGAAAGTAATCTGAATTATGATCCCTCAAATCACCCCGAGTTAGCTAATTATTGTCTGCCATGCTTTCTGCCTGAAGATCGTTCTAAAATCGAGAAGATGTCAAAGAACGATGCTAGCTTTAATCCTAGCATGTGCTGCAATACATGTGAAGATGTTCAGAGGATGTATGCAAATACAGGACTTGATCTTCCTTCCCTCAGAGTAATACCTCAATGCATCTCTGAATTATCTACAAACGAACCTGGCTGCAATATTGTTGGATCTATAAATATGAAAAAAATTCCAGGATTTCTTGTCTTTCTACCTACACATGCTGGATATAGATTTAACGTTAGTAACCTTTTAGCCTTTAACACTAGTCATGTTATTAAAAAAATTGTCATTGGGGACAGAAATGTTCGACGGTTTTCTCGCACTGGAGTTTCGTACCCACTGAACGGTGAACGTTACACTACTCCAACTTTTTCTGAGGTCAAATATTTTCTTAAGGTCGTCCCGACAACATATAATACTAAGGAAAAACAGAATAGTAGCCAAAGGACTTATGAGTACAGTGCACAAATGAATGATAGAAAATTTTCAATTGTCTCTAGTGTAATACCTGCAGTTATTTTTGGGTTTGATATCTCACCATTTCAGATAAACAACTACTTTTTGCGTCCTCCCTTGTTACGATTCTTGATAAAGCTTTGCGGCATAGTTGGCGGTGTATTTGTAGTTTTGAGTATTGTTGATAGTGTAATTGATTATTTTGCACGACTGGTTTTTAAGAATTCTTGAACAACATTTTACTGATTATGAAAAAAATATTGTATATGTTCTTTACTATCGGTTTTTACGCATATCTTTAAAATTATATGCACCTATTATGCGAATTCTTGTAGTTGGTATTCATTATTTATATTTTATCCTTATTATTAATTACTTCTATTGATGATGAACTTTATTAGTACTTTTTTTCTTAAACTAGCCTATCCCTTGTTTTAGCTGTAGGAATAATAGTATTAATTCTGTTTTAATATAACCTAGTCATGTTTCGCTCACGTATTGTCCGTCAAGTTTCAATTCAGGCTCTTGAAACTCCGTCTGAACTTCCAGAATGGGCTATTAAAAAAAAGACATGGCTTACAAAGTCTTTTTCTTGGGCATCGGGTAAGTTGCAAATCGTGGCTACACATATCATAAAATTTAGTGACCATTTTATGGGTATCCAGCCAAAGGAAAGTCTTTACCGGCTTCCTCGTCTCCTAAAGGTAAATGATATACGACCCTCAGTGATGGATAATTGTTTTATTGCACCAAGTGCCTTTATTTCAGGAGATGTACGAGTAGGTCGGAAAAATTATATTGGGTACAATGCCATAATTCGCGCTGAAAAGGATGAAACTATTTACCTAGGCGAAAGCTGCAACATACAGGAAAAGGCAGTCGTCACAGGGAATACTACAGTGGGAAAATGGGTGACAATTGAACCAATGGCCATTGTCGAGTCTGCTGATATTGCCTCCTGTTCCTTTGTAGGGGCTAATGCTATTGTCATGAAGGGAAGCCAAATTGAATCAGGCTCCATGCTTTGTGCGGCAAGTGTATTACAGGCATACGCTGTTATTCCCTCAGGTGAGATGTGGGCTGGTAATCCTGCCGAAAAAGTTGCTGATTTAACTGAAGAGGAACAGGAGCAAATTATTAAGGCAGCGAAGCATATGGTTATTTTGGCTATCGAACATCATGATTCCCTAGAACTGACTTGGGAAGAAATTGAAGGCCAGAGAGAGGCCCGTGAGGCTTGGGCTAATCAAGCACAACGCGGTCGTGAGATTCGTGGTAAAGCCATGTACATCAAGGAGCCCCCACGCCCGAATCGCAAGCTGAAAGACACACCGCATGCGACTGCACATGGAACAATCAATCCACCTCCAATCATGGAAAGCTTTGTTCAGGGATACTAACTATTGTAAAGTTATATTACTTTTTTTTTTGTAGCAATTGCATAGAAGAAATTCAAGGAAATTTTGTTTTTAGCAAAAGGTATTGTATACTTCTAAGGTGGAAGTTCACTTATCAAAAAAATACTTGTCGAAAATCATTCATGTGTCTTAACGATTCTTTCGACGTCTTAGAAATATATTTTTCTCCGATTTTTTTTTTACGTCTTATTCTCATATAAATACATATAGCAATACACTCATTCTATTTGTAGGGGCAAGAATATGACCCTGTAATAGGTTCCGATGGAACAGCTCCTTGGGCCTTGTGAGCAAATTTGCTCCTTGTGTAAATCGCAACGTTTGTTTAGGTTGTCAAAGTATGGTTGTGTATTCACGTGCAAATGCGAAACACCATTAGATTTTCAAAAGGCTTTAAAATTATTCATTAGACAACTGGAAATGGGCGTTTTCGATCTTTCCTTTGTCCCTATAATTGAAGGTATCTCTACCAGAGGGACTCTTGACGCAAAAATTGCTGTGGTTGAGCTGGAGTGCCTGCAAAGGTTGGTCTCATTTACTTTTTATAACTTCTCTAATAGTGACATTGAAAATATCCTCAGTTCATTTTCCTTGTCACTGAGGATTCAGACGCTGAAAACTGCCAATAATCGCTTCTCAATTCCATTAGAGCTCCTCGATTTTCTTGTCGATGAGCTTCAGGCAATTTCCCGTTACCCGTTAAGCAATTATCTAATTAGCCAACCTTCTCATGAGCTTGTTAGTGTTGTGCGCAGTCCTTCTCCGACAACACTACCGCCCTATTTCCTTCCTGTGGATTTGTGCCGAGTGCTGCAGAAACATCAAATTGAGGGCCTGGAACAAATTCTTCGGTTTAGGGGTCGAGCGCTCTTGGCAGATGAAATGGGAGTAGGTAAGACTTTGGAGGCGCTTGCGGCTGTTTCTGCGTTAAATGCGTTTCCATTGCTGCTTGTGACCCCGTCCGCGTTAAAGGTTATGTGGGCCGATGAAATTGAAAAATACTTGCATTCACAAGTTCAGGTTAACGATGTTCATATTATCAAGGGGTCAAACGATGCATTAGGTAGTGGTCAGATCCCCAAGGTGGTGATCGTCAGTTATCACATGGTTGCGGTTCTAGGGGAACAGCTAATGCGGAGAAACTGGAAGTGTCTCATCTGTGATGAAAGTCATTTTCTTCTTACGAATGCGAACAATTCTGACGCTCATTATACTCGACACTTGGTGAGTCTTGGGAAGCGAGTCCGCTATTGCATTCTTGTAAGCGGAACTCCCACCCTAGGAACACCTTTTACAATGTTTAATCAACTTGACATGCTACTACCTGGTGTCTTTGGGAAAACACGATGGCATTTTGCATTACAATTCTGTCATATGCGTTTTGATCCTTACATACAGATATTAGAGTGTATCCGGCCGATAGAGTGCACTACCTTTCTTCGCGCCAAGTGTATGATACGCCGCCTTAAACGTGATGTGCTTGAACTACCTCCTAAGAAGCGTATTATTCTTCGTGTAGCATGTACTCTGATGTCTAACGAAAAAAGTACTTTTCAGGATCAATACTCTTTGTGCTGGAGAAGGAAACGTAAAGGTATTTTCGAGACTATTGAGTATTGTTGTCAAAAATACGAAACACTTGTCCTCTTTGCACATCATTTGGCACTCATTGATGCCTTGGGATTATTTCTTGATGACAAGCACATTTCCTTCATTCGAATTGATGGCCGTGTTGGACCAGAGCAGAGGGGCGATCTACTCATGCAGTTTGAGGGCGGAAAAGTGAAAGTTGCCGTTATTGGGATTACTGCATGCGCTACTGGCATATCTCTGGCCTTGGCGCAATGTGCCATTTTTTGTGAGCTCCCGCCGGATGCATCGTGGATGATTCAAGCAGAAGATCGCCTCCATCGCCAGGGCCAGGAACGAGAGGTGAGTATTTACTACATTTTGGGTGTTCATTCTGAATTTGACATGGCTCATTTTTCTCGTATCCTTGAAAACTATCAACAAGTACGTAAGTTTGTAGATGATGAAAGTAAGGCAGTTTCTATATATCACACATCGCGAATGGATTCATCTTTGCCGCGCTTCGCATGCGTAGATTCTAATTGTGCAAACACAAGAAACACTACGTTTTCATCTGTATCAACAAACCAGCGATTACTTTTTCTTATCAGCAAAAACACGGGACGCATCCATGTCAAGAACCCTATTAATGATTCGTTTTATATCACATTCTCAATGGAAGAGGCAATAGCATGTGTTCGAAATAGAAGCCATACAATTTGGGATCAATTGGATCGTTTCCTCTTGTCATTAGAAAAACATTCCCTGTTTTATAAGCGACAGATGGTTAATAATGTCATGTGGTGTTCTAGTGACTTTAAAATTAAGAACTCAGAATCTCTAACGGGAACATCAATACGTTATCTTTCTTCGCTGAAAATCGGATGGGGGTTTTGGTGGCAGGTAAAACGGCAAGGCTTTCGCAAAAACCTCTATTATTTTACCGGTTTGAAGCATATCGGCTCGCTTTACATGCCATTGTGTCTAAATTGCTCTTGTCTCTTGAATATTTCAGGTAACTTTTCCCCAGGTTTGGTGTTTGAGTTGGAAACAGATGTGGTTATGTTTTGCAATGGAAAATGCAGGGAGGCATTTTTCATGAAACGGTCCAGCGGGTCGATTCGACGTAGCGTGTCGATTGTGGATCGTGGCAATTGTGCAAATTGTCATGTAAACTGCGAGTTACTCTGTATGTTGATGGCCAACGCGCAACACATCGATGAGAGAGAGGAGATTTTGCGGAAACATCACCCACAGTTTGCACTCTTTCCGCGCTTGTATCGTAACTTCGTGAATAATCCTACTCCAGGCAATTGCTGGCATGCCGACCACATCATACCAGTTTCTCATGGGGGAGGCCAATCAACATTGGATAATATCCAAACATTATGTGTGGTTTGTCATGCACTAAAAACAAGTGAAGATATAAAGTATTGTTCATTTCAAATTCAGCATCCTAAACCCCAAAAAGTTGATACAACAGTAGTCTTTGCATTAGAACATCTGCACAGCGTTGGGGGTGGAAGGGTCTCTAGCAGGCGCCACCGTTAATCTCCGAACGATGCTGGATTCCGATGAATAAAATCAAGTAAAATATAAAAATAAGATAGATGCTTAATAAAGACAAAGAAAAAAAATCTACTGTATGTTTTATCATTTTTTTTCAACTTTTCGATCTTTTCGTCTTCATTTGGTTGGATATCCTGATTATAATTTTATGAGGCAAGAAAAAAATACCTCCATAGCCCTCATAATGGTGAATACATCAAACAAGAGCCATAATGTTTTTGAGTTGATTCCGAAGTATAGCACGGCCACAAATGAGGAGGTAAGCCAAGAGATCGAGATTATCCTCAACACCTTTGAAAATGCCAAAGTCGTAGGCCAAAATAAGGTTCACAAAAAACTACGAATCCCAATCAGCTCCGAGACCCGCCCCACGTTTCACGCCCTGCTCGACATCACCGTTGTGGAAGGCTATCCCTATGTCCCGCCAAGGGTGGAGCTGATGTTTCCCGCCGGCACCCACCCCAAGGGCCCGGACGGCCTTACCAAGGAGGAGGCCACCCAGCTAAAGGAGGAGCTGAGCAGCAGCATTCAGCCCTGTCGGTCCGTTGGGATGCCTTGTATGATGCAAATCGTGTCAACGGTGTTACAGTTCGTGAGCACCGAGCGCTCCCCAGTAGCGGAGGTCCAGGACAGGGACCCCAACGTCCCGACGTCCTCAGCTGTGTCAAAGTCCCCCGCACTCACCCCTGTGCCGCTGAAGGCGAAGGATGCGCTTCGCCTGAGCGTGTTGGCGTTACATCTATTGCGAAAGTGCTGTTACATGCGGGATCCCGCGTCTCGAGTGGAGTGGAATAGCAATTTTGACTGGTTGTCATCGTATCTTATCGAGAAAACCAACGTGTTTCCTCGAGCGGTGCGCGGACTGCTGCCATGGAGAGGGGAGGGGTTCGCAAAGGCCTTCGCCAACGAAATACAAACTGACGAGTACGCGGTGTCTCAGTGGTCAGAGCTTAAAGAATGGTTCTGGAAGAGTGAGGAACTCCCACTACGAATTCAGCAAGGATCCGAAGGAAGATACCAAAACGAATTTATCCAACAGAAGCTCCTTGGGTCTGGTGGCTTTGCTCCGGTGTATATGTGCCGAAAAAAAATTGATGGACGTTCCTATGCCGTTAAAAAAATTGTGATGAAGGACAATCAATCGGAAAAGATCATTCGTGAAGTTCAAACACTGGCGGCCTTGAATCACAAAAATATCGTTCGCTACTATGATGCGTGGGTAGAAGACGGATGTGATGAGGAGCTGAAAAGATTTATCGAAGACGACGAGCTTTCGGAAAAGGGGGGAATCGATAAGACCGCTGCTTCCGCTTGTGTCACCCGTCTTGTTAGTGATTATTCCTCATCGGACTCAAGCCATGATTCCCTTACGGCCTCGTCTTCGTCTATGAGCGACGAACACAGTGACACCGAAGATGAGGAAAGCGATGAAAGCTCCTGCGAAGTGGAATTCCACAATAATGGTAACGATCCCAATATTGGTCCTGCATCCGTTCACTCGGATCCTTCTCGTAATCGACTTCAAACGCTTTATATTCAAATGGAGTTGTGCTCTGCGACGTCACTGCGACATTTGATCGACGAAAGTGATAAAGGTTGTGGTATTTTTGCCTCCGAAAGGGGCGAAAAAGTTGCTGCTTCGATTTTAAGGCAGCTCTTAGTAGTGATAGCGCACACGCACCACGAAAATATTGTCCATCGGGATCTTAAACCTGACAATGTGTTATTTGAAATGGGAAATAGCCAGGTAGAGGGTGAGATCGGAACCATTCGCGTCGCTGATTTTGGTCTAGCACGTGTCATGAGTGGGCTGAAGCAAACCGCTAGTGCTTACAAACTTGATGATATTAGCGAGTTGATAGATGTGCAGCACGAGCAGAATGCTAATTTCCCGACAGGCAATTGTGGCTCCGTACTGTACTGCGCCCCTGAGCAGGAAAAGGGCATTTACTATGGGTTCAAGGTGGATGAATTTAGTATAGGTATGATTGCCCTGGAGATGTGGCTTTCGATTCTGGGAAAAGGGTTTCGTGAGAGATTCAACATCATGGAACAGGCATGGGTGAAAGGAACCCTCCCAGATTGGTTCATACAGTGCAAACCACCCATAGCCGAAGTGATTGCAAGCTTGCTTGAACATGACCAACAGAATCGCCGCACCTGTGAAGAAGTATTAAGTACCGCCGAGCTTCCGGGTGACCCTGTCGATATCATTGAAGCTTTAGAAACAATTGATCGCTATGGTGAGCGATTTGCTTGTAGGGTCATTCAAAAAATTCAGAAATTAGGTATTCAGTACCGAAAACCCCCTCCCCAGTTACGAGCGATGGCTCAATTTCTTGGATCGGTAGCGTGTGCACAAGCCGCACAAGCGGTCAACGTCGTAGGAATTCTGCATGGTAGCATGCACGTTGGTTTTGTAGATCCGCTCGTCCTGATCAATCCAGATTTAAACGAACTTGGGGTTGATGTGGTGACAGATACTGCGGGACGTTCCTATTCATTCACAGCATTACCCCAATTGCCCGTTGCCTCATTTTTGGGGATGCAAGAGAATGCGACTATCGGGTCCTTTCATTGTTTCTACCATAAAGTTCGTTCCTATGCAGTTTTTGTCACTCCAATGTTGAACTCAGATGTGTTTAGCGAAGGGCTTATTGATCCTTTCCTGAGTTTAATACACTTGATTTCGTTCATGGAGTTAACAGAGCCCATCAACATCATTATTTCACACGCAGATTGGCTTAATGCGGTGTATCCAAGACTAGGGCTTCACCAATGTCAAAATGATTTTTCTAAACTTAGAACTTCTCTTGATTCGACCGAAAAATTTGGGCCAGCAATTTCATTGATTAGTGAAACTCTTAGCAAAGTAGGGTTAGTCTGTTCCTTTAATCGGGATGAACTTCTTCGCAAGTTTTCACTCACCATGATCAACGCAATCCATTTATTTGGAAAACATTTATCGTCGCACATCTCAATTATCCTTGACCCCACACTATTCCCAAGTGAGACCTTGAATCACCACCATAGTATTGATCGTGGGATTATTCTAGAATGTCGTACGGCCTCCGGAATAGCGTTTGCCTTTGGCTGCAGTATGGATAATTACATATCCAAGTGTACCGTCACCAACCCTGATATGAATGGCTATTCCATTGTTGTGGATATTTACGAAATGGCAACCAATTGGAAACATTTATATATTCCAACCATGGAAGGTATTTTAGATGGCGTGGCCATACGGCGCCAGGACTTATATTCGCAATCCCATCAGGACAATGTTGTGGAGGCAGCTGTGAAGTTATGGAAGAGCAACACCCCAGCGTATTTAAGCATCGATAACGATTTACATGCCTTGGTGAAAAAGATGAAAGGGAAAAAGCTGCGCTGGGTCCTTTTTGACGGAAAGCGATTAGTCCCAGCATCATGCATTCATCAAAACAAAGCTCCAAAATATTCTGACATCTCGATCGATAAGCTCTGTGATACGGTTAGATCCCTTTCTTTAAAGGATAGACAATTGTCCTCGAAAACAAATGCTGATGTGATCTTTATTTCTATGAATGAAGACTTCCAGGTTGCTGAGGAGGCCAAAGAAATACTCAACTCAATGACAGCAATTAAGTGGTCACCTATTGTAATCATGAATATTAAATTGACTGATATCGAGGCGTGTTTTGACGAAAAAAAGCGGTCTGTAGAACTTTCGCAGCCTCAACAGGCGCTATTTCAGTGGTTAGGAGCGAATAATGCACTGCTTGGCGTAACGCCTATTTATTCGTTCGAAGATGGCAAAATCACTTTTTTCATAAATCACAAAAAATTCAAAGCTGTACAAAAAAAAGAGAAAGGCAAACGTAAAAAGAAATAGGTTTGCCTCTTTTTTTTTTTCATGCACCCAAATACATTTTTTATTTATTTCAGCTTGCGGTATTAATGCATGTATACAGCCACAGTTACGTCGTTTTCTTTAGTAATATCCACATGTTAATTTTCACCTTGGACTTTCAATGACAAGGTCCAAACGTAGAAAAGTACATGCCTCGTGAATTCCTACATGATACTTTAATTTTAGTAGGCTTCTTAGAATAGAAGCTTTAATTTTTTTTTACCCACGCGTGTGGGAACTTCATGTTTTCTTGGGGGAAAATCTCAAACTTTCAACTTCCTCATGAAAGCTATTATTGAGCTACTAGGACGGTATGCTATTCCTGAACTAGCTCAAAAGAGTCTTGTCAAGAATGATTTCAAGGGACTAAAACCGGATATCGTTGTGAATGACTTTTCTCTTGCTCTTTTTTCTTATGAATGCTTGTAAAGTTTCGGGAACCCTACATTCCCACATTATCCCAAAAGGTTGTAAAGAGAAGCTGTAGCGACTCTTTTTGATATTTACTATTTATATCTTACAAATCAGAAGAATACTATCATGCTGTGCCTAATGATATTAATTTAGAAAATAAAAAAATGATCAGTTGAATAGTATTAAGTTCTGAAAGAAAAATTCAGCACCTTATCTCATTTCTTCCCATCATTCTTTCTCATCTTTTTACGTATTTAATATCTTAAATAATTGAGTGGATGAATATTTACAAGAAGGAAAGTTATTGATATTTTGTGCTATTTTTTATAGCTATATTTCACAATTTATGACCTTGATTGTCTTTCGCATTTAAAACACAGGAATATTCGTAGATGAATAATTTTTTTAAAAATAGTTCATCTGAGCTGGCCTCAGCAAAGGAGGAGATTGTTATGCTTCGTCAGAAAATCAAGACCGTCGAAGCCGTAGCGTCCTCCCTAGAAGTCCAGCTAAAAGAAGAGAATCTGAAATTTACGGAACTAACGGCGACCACGCAAACGTGGGAGGACAAAATCAAGGCAATGGATGAAGCCCATAGATGTGAACTCGCTGTTTTGCAGGGCGAGCTTTCGATTTATAAACAAATCAAAGAAACGGGGGGTGAGGAGATCACCGTAGCAGTGAGTGAGCTGATAAAGTCTTCTCTGCAGGGTATTCGGCAAGAATATGAGCTCAAGATGAACAAAATGGAAGCGGATACCCAACTCCTACAGAATAGACTTCGCGAAAGCGAGGACCTGCGCACGAAAGGGTTAAACGAGATAGAAACCCTCAAGGCCGCCCATTTGAGCGCGGAGAAGCGACTGACGCAAGCGATTTCCGACGCTCGCGCAGAATACGACGTGGAGCGTCGCGAAATGGCCGAGAAACATCTATCCGAGCTTGCGGATCTCCAGAAAAAGGCTGAGAGCCCGCGCAAGGACAACCTCGTCGCCTCACCTGCGGAAATCGACGAGTTGGAGGAAACCATCCGATTGCTTAGACAACAGCTCAGCGAGAAGGAGCGCGTGCTGGTGGATGTCCAGCAAAAGCAGGCCGAGTGGAGGGAAAAGGTGAAGAAAATAAAGCGCCAGGACAATGAGACCATCGAGCACCTGAAAACGCTTTTAGAGGCGGCGGCGGACCCCGCCGATCCTCCGCCCGATCGCGCGATCGAAGCGCTAAACGAGGAACTCGTCCAGGCGCGGATCGGCGATCGGGAAACGATTGAGCGCCTGCGGGGCGAACTCCTCGCGGCGGAGGCGAACCTCCTCGCGCTTTCGGAAAAGGCGAATTCCGCCAACACTGTCGAGTCGAAAATGCCAAATTACCATCCACGGCCTAACAAGGATATCCACAATAAAGATGATGATGAAAATAAAGATGGGGATGAAGATAGGGTTGTGGATGAAGATAAGGATGTGGATGAAAATAAAGATGTGGGT